CAGCATGTCCAAGTCCAGATCCACCAGCTCCAAAATCAGTTCCAAAAGCAGCAACTCCTACCAGGAGAATAGCGACACCTCCTGCTCCTCCTCCTCAGGTGCCACCAGCACCTACGCTTACACCAACACCACCTACACCTAAAATGCAAGAACACCCGTTAGTTAAACTGGCTGAAAGTGGAAAATTCAGTTCTCATCATGCGGCTACTGCAGCTGCTTTACAACAGCAATTGTTAAGAGGTAAGTAAATTTAACTACAAACATTTATAAAAATATCATTTAAATATCTATCTGTTTGTAATTAATTTTCCTCTATTTCTTTAGAACTAGCAAAGAATCCTGTGACAAGCTTACCACATCAGCCTCTTCCTGCCCACATGATGCCCCCGTTTACTTCTATTTTATATCCGTATCAATTAGCAATGGCACAGGCAACTGGAGGTAAAGGTCTCGCAGAGTTGCAACGGCAAGCAGCAGATCTTCAACGTCAGTACCTGCTTGATATGATTCCATCGCAAGCATCACAAGCACAAGGCAACCAAGCTCCACCAAGAGCTCATCCGCATAATTGGAAAACGTAACCGGACGCATTTAAGGAAAGAACAATAAATCCAAGTAAATAATTATAATAAACGAAGTAATTAAAGAACAAGAAAAAGGTTCATGGTTATTGCGAAAGACACGATATATCGCAAATATCACGTTGTTGTGATTGGGAATATTGTGATATATCAATATGTTATTGGTATATCATTTCATTAAATGGTAAGGAAGTATAAGGTATAATCCAAGAAATATGTAAAATGATAACGTGATTCTTCAAGAAACGAATTAACGTTTTATTTCTTATTATCGAACCATTTTAATAGTTCGACTTGTTTCAAAATTAATAAGTGTGGACAATGAAATCTTAAAAATTAATCGAAGAGCAGCAGTATGTTTTAATGTTAAAACTACAAACAGTGTCTCCTTTTGATATTACTCTGCATCGATATTAGATATTTTACCGTAAAAACAGATAAAGACGTAATTAATACATAATGTTAATCACGTATGTAATGTCTGAATAAAATAAAAATAAGAAAACAAATGAACACTTGTTAAGGCACTAAGAGACGGTAATAAATAGAATATAAAAATATCGATGCATCGATTATTAAAAATGAATAATCTGAGTTACAGAAGTAAAAAATGATTGCGTTGCAGTAAATTAAAATTGAAGTTAAGAATCTTTTTAGGCTCTTATAATGAAGCCTATCTTTGCCGCTGGATTGAATAAATCATTAACCAGCGGCGGTACCTGTACTATGTGTATATCTCTTTATTTTCTTCAATCGTGAGTATTTTTAAGGCGAATACATTGCATGTGTGAGAGACAGATATAGAAAGAAAGAAAGAGAGAGAGTGCATGAATTATAGTTATAAATAATAATCTTCCCAAGGAAATGTGTGAAAGAATAATAAGCGAACATGTGAGTGATAAGAAAAATTTTTTTTTTGCCAATATATGGCAGAGTATGTGCATCGACATGTTTTTAAATAGAATGACAGAAATGTCATTCGCGCACAAATCTAATAAGAATTTCCATGTATGGCAAATCGGCTAAAAAGTTTTTCTTCATCAAGAGGTACATCAAGACGATACATTATGACTCGATAAAATTTTTCTATATATATATATATATATATATATATACTATGATTAATGAATTTGAAGGAAAGAAGCGAATAGACAAGAGTCAAATTTTCACATCACGATTGTTTTGATGTGCCACAATTAATATAAAGATATTAAAATCATCAACAGGACGTGTGCATAATCGCATTTTTTCGAAGTGTTAAGGTGCGAGATAAAAAGAAAAAAGGGTCTGGATTTTTAGTCCTCTATAAGAAAAAAAAAAATAATAAAAAAGAAAAAAAACAAGTTTGCACATATAACAGTTAAACTCTCTGGCACTCATCCCAAGCAATACTATTAATTATTATCACCTTCGCTAATAGCCTAATTTCTATGACTCTGGCTAACAAATCTCGGTCATACATTTCTGAATCAATAAATAAATAGTACTATACTGTAGTCTTGATATTTCTCGGTATTATGATACATACAAGTTAATAAACTAAAATAGCATAATCATCTCTCTTTGTATTACGTGATAGGTTTTGAGCTCGTACTGATATACATGTACACCATATAAGTCTACGATCGCATAATAGATCAAGATCTGTGTTTTTTGTGTAAGAGAATTGAAAGAATATGTCGTCAACCCTGCATTGTCGCCAATGATACTACTGCTGCCACCTTTCTATCATCAAACATGATTATTTCAAATCAGTGTCACGCAAAGAGAGGAGAATAGGAGAACCCGATTTTTAATTTACCTATACATACAGTCAAAAATGTACTTGTAATTCTATGCATTTATTATAGATTAATATTAATTATTTTGTAAATGAATTATTTCGTTCCTCTTTTTTTTTATTCATTTATTAAAAGAGGCTCTAAAGTTTTATTCAACAACAACGGGACGATTAACTAACCGTTCCGTTTTTCGCGTTCTCCTGTTCCTTGTGAGAGCGTTGTTATTTAATGATAAAGATGTTTTTATTGTGAAATGTGTGATCCTTAAAAAATAGAGTAATTTTGATGTGATTGAAAAGAATTTATAATGATATTAAGTACGTAACGTACTGCGATTGTTAAATCATAATTGAGGGTCTTTTCGATATTGATCATTTCACTTTATTTTTTTTTTTTTTTTGACTGGTTCTTTTTCCTTTTTGTCTAGTCTGAATTTTCAGCTCTATGTGGTGTTGTTAGAAAGTAATGCACTAGAACGCCCAGAGAGATCTTTGCATTCGACAAATGTGATGATTGTAACAGCAAATATAAAATATAAAAACAAAACAAGTAAAAATACGATAACGAGATAGTGTGCAACGTTAACACATGCCAATTGCACTGGGTTGTGCAGCATTCGATGGCGGCCAAAACGAATGAACGGTATCGCAGGATTAGAATGTTAAGGTATTCTTCAAAAAAGCGCTATACAATCGAAAGCTTCATGGGAGAAAGGGGAGAAGTAAGAGGAGGGGGATGCAGACTTATAAATAAAACTAAGCAAAAAATATAAAAGAAATCAGGTTGTGTAAAAGCTCTCGGAAGCCAAACTACTATTACTATTATTACTACTACTACTACTACTACTACTACAATTACTACTACTATTACTCGGCCCATTATCGAGATTGCGTTACGATATGATGAACGTACGAAATTTTTTGAAAAAAATCGACACGTCGTAGAAAAACTAAAGCAATTGTCCAGTCCAAATTTGTATTTCGGCCTTAAAGAAAATGTAGGCGTATAAAACGCAGATGAAGGACTCTGCCCCCATAAACTTATATAATTAGTTATTACGGATTACTGAATAGTCTGAAAATAACACGAATAAAGCTTGTCAATGATTGTACCTAAGAGTAATTAATATTCATTTATACTATATGTATGCATATATTTACATAACACACGCACAAATAAATACATATACACGTTGATTAGTATCTATACAAAAATTGCTGATAAAAGTGAATTTTAATGGACTTAGAACGTTAAATTCTTTTGTGTTTAATTATCAAAAAAAAGAAAAAGAAAGGGAAAATTGAGTGAAGACATAAAACACCAAACTAAACTATATTAAATTAAACCAAACTCAATTGAACAAATTCTTGTTAAATCAAACTAAACAAAACGAAACTGTGATTTCTGTGTTTCTCTGATGAAGAGCCCATACATATCTTAATCATTTTCAGAATACTATTGATCTTCAATGATGAATATCTTATCTTGATATCCTCGCAACAGTATTTCCAGCAAACTCTCTTTCTTCGTCTATGTAGATGATAATTTCCTGTCCCTTTCATAGATGTAGATGGTTTCTGTTTGAGGCCATCGAGCATGACATCATACGGGATTTTGTTCCCTTCTTCTAATATCTCTAAAAAGTAGTTAGAAATGATCTGACCGGCGCCAAACAAAAGAATTTCGATTAGACATGCGGACGGCATAGTTTAATAGCCAATGCGGATACTTTTTTAATGCTTATCAAAAATATCAAATATTTACAATATATCAGTATTATAAATATTCAAACTTCATTTGTTTAAAACATTTATCGGTAAGAATTTACCGATGTTACAATATCTTTTGTTTGTATGCTGGCATGTTAAAGAAATTCATAGGATTTATTTGTTTTTTTTTTAAATTATATATATTATCATATTATTTATTTACTTTTACTCCTCAAAGAAATTTATTTTTTGATGAATAAGAATGATAAGATCAGTTGATAAATTTTATTTTCAAAATATACATATATCTCTATATCTAGTCATTTTGAACACATTTGTGGGATAAGCCTACAATTTTAGTACTAACATAAAATCCAGTAAGTTCTGGCAATAAAGGTAACGCTGTTCAAACATGTTTTCCTAAGTTGCATCGCGGAGAAAGTCGGGATGACATTTAAACTCTCGATACCGTAGGACAACTATATCATTTCGTTAACTTGTCCCATACCTTAGGTTATTCCCCCTAAGAACATCGATCCTTGTGAAGTATCGAAAATGCTTTGAAACCCTACCGCGAGCTGTCGCTGCGGCGCAGGCCGTAGCTCGCAACTAGGTGCTAGAGACTTTCCGTTGGCTCCTACACCTTCTGTTACGAAAAATCGATTTCTTACCTAATAAAAATTTTCTCGAGAAAAAAAGTAAACAAGACCTGTTTATCCAGGTTAACGAAAGTATTATACTTCCTTTTACACGCTCACACATGGACGCAACTCAAAAAGTTAATTGACTACGGTTAGATTATTGTCTGAATTATTTTATATTATTTATTTTATTTCATCTTTTATATATCATATATATGTTTAGAAATCTTATGTAAATAGATTTAATTATGCGATAATGCCTCTGATCGAAGTATAATTCTATCTTTCTTTTTTAAAATTAAACTTTTAATATTCAATATAATTCGAGTACATTGCAAGAAATAAATTTTGAAATTTACTTATTTCCATTGCGTATACAATGGCAATAACAAATTGGACGGTTTCACATTTTTTAAAATTATCTTACAAAGATACAGAGAAAAAAGTTAAATAATGGTAAGAAAGAAAAAAAGATATACATATAATGTATATAATTATCTTTTATGTTAATTTCTTTTGGTTCATCTGATTCAAACACTTTTTAAAATGCTTTGAACAAAATGGATATAGAGTAGGGTGATCGCAGGTTCTACAGGCAGCTGCAAGATGTGAGCAACATCTCAGACTCTCGCGACAACAAGATGCCCAAAAATCGGGACCTGCTGCGGCACAATTATGACAATAACAGTCTCCTGAAAAAAAATATATATTTATACAAAAGAAATATGATAACAAATATCTTACATAGAAAGTACTATCATAAAACGATTTTTCTATGTTTTATGATTGTTTGAAAGCAAACGTTTGATCTGGATTCATCTTCGGAGACAATTTTACTAATTTCAAGCTATGAAGTTTATTTAAAACTGTATTTTTATTAACATAACTTATAAAACACTCAGTATTATAAATCTCTCCTACGATTTTTGAATTCGATTAAAATTATATCCGAACTATGAGTCATAAACAGGCGTAGCACATAAGATACAAATTTGTACGAAAAAGAAAAAACCCAGAAAAAGGACCACTAAAAAGGCAATAAAAAAAGTAAAGATTGTCTCGCGTGTCACGTACATTGCACGTGAAATTTTTCACCGATTTACGAAACTGGTTTTAAATCTACATAGATACGCAACTCGCGTTCGCATTTCTGTGTGTATGTGTATATATATATACACATATGTAAAATTAAATAATACAATGATTCGGTCGCCGAAGTATCATTTCTCATTTCATTGTTCTCATACGCAGAATCCTCCGCGGAATTTCTCTTTTTAATTTATTCCAAAAGAATAATTTATTTGAAACTAGTGGGTAGAACGAAAGAATGCTTAAGAATGATAGCTAGTTGCATTTATAACAAGATACGTCTGTAATGCAAAAATATACTTTTAATATGGTTATCTATCGATGGGCGTTGTCCGAATGTTTCAAGCTCTTTTATACACATACATTATTAGTTATATGTTTATGTGTATTATGCATATAGATATACTAACTGAAATCGGGTTAAGTAACAAGCGAAAAGTGTCATGCGTCCACTTTATTTCCCGCGCAGCAACATAAAATAAACCAGACAAGCGAAAGTGACAATTTTTCGAACGTAGGAAAAAATAAACGAAAACCTGAAAAGAGAAACTATTATTGTACTTTGCGTTATTTCTTTTTTCATTTAAAAGCTCCTGTTAATCCGAGAGAGAACATTTCCATTACATACTCGTTTCACACCTGTCATTGACTAAAAAAAGGAATAATACAAGTACTTTATAGGAGTGGCTATTGTCAAGGTTACCTTTTGCATTGTAACGTAGTGTTATTTTTTTTAGCTTTTCTTTTATTTTTTTTTGTCATTATAAAAGTTGAAGAATTCATCTTTGATGTCGTATAAGTTACTTCGTCAAGCTTTATAACGAAATGAAACTTATTTAACATTTCCATTATAATTTTATTCAATTTCGAATGATACTAAAAATTTCCAATAAATCTCGTCACCTGAATTCGTGTGACGCTTATATTATCTATTCGCGAATGATCTTAATAAAAATTTGAAAAGAAAATGAATATCAATTTGATGAAAGTAATAAATTAATATATACAGAAATTATAATAATATTATTTCCATAACCAGAAATAGTTTTTTATTTAAAATTTTTTCTGAATATGAAATTTAATACATAATAAATGTATACATATGTAATAAAAGTCTGAAGGCGTGGCCTTACGGTGTTTTCTTCTTTTATTCGGATGACATTTTAAGTAATTATATTGTTATTTGTGTAAGATATTATTAATATGATAATAAGATATCCAAAAATATATACAAAAAAAATATATACAAAAGAAAATATACAAAAAGTATAAAAGTTTACAGTATCAGATCTCCAAATACATCGAACATTCTCTCAATTCTCGACTCTTCACTCTTTCACTTTGACGCTTCACTCTTTACTCTGATTCTTCACTCTTACTCTGATTCTGATACTCTTACTCTCACTTTGGCAATCTTATTCTGACTCTCTCTCTCTCTCTCTCACACACACACACCTAACTAATGCTAGAACCTTCCATATTTCTCATACACTCACATTCCTGCATTTATATTATATTAATGAATTAACTCATTACCTTCTGGACAATCAACGGATCTACGAGCTTCCGCTCTTCTACAATCTAAACCTTCTTCACCTTTCGGACAAGATGTTGAGGATTCCTCAATCGAATTTTCACCGAGCAACGTATTTATCTAAAATAAATAATAAATACGATAATTTTCTCTTGATTAGGGACAAAGTTATTTATCTATCTCTATCGTTTATGCATTCCACAGCGAGATCAACGTTTCTAGTTCTACATCTATTACAAAACAAATCACGATTTACATTTTCCTACATATGGTATGTACGCTCGACCACACACTGTCGTTTTTCCTATTACAGAATACACGAATTTTTTTCGCGAATGCAAGTAAGAAAGAAAGAATCGAACACAATGTTTTAATAGTTAATTAAACGAACAAAAAATCTTTCTACATCTCTAAAAATATAAAGATAATAAACAAATACAAGGTTATGCTATTTAAATTCTACAATTTCGTAAATGTTCCTAAAACAATTTCAAATGAATTAATTGAACAGATTTGGATTGTTATTGCTACGAATTTCTTTGATCGATAAAAGCGCGGGAAATATACGAAACCGTTTGAAATGCATGATTTATCGAAAAGAAACGCATCGGACGTCGTGAAATCAAGTATTTTGCTTACTTTCTCATACGTAAGTATATAAGTACTTATGTATGTCTCAATAAACATACAATGTCTGTTTCACTCACCCGTTTAAACGCTCCCGGTTTGGAAAACATCCTCACCAATTTCGCGAGCGCATCCTCGTTTCGCGTTTCTTCGGTAACATCGGTTACATTTTCCTCTGCATAACATTGTAAACAATTGATTAGCATAACAATAAATAAACACAATAACGTGCCCCGCAAGGACATATTGCAAAGGATTAAATTCAGCTTCAGGTACGACGCAAATTTAAATCACGACTGAACAGGTGATTGAGAGAAGTGTCCTCTACTGCTTTAGATATCTCTTTCTCTCTCCCTCTCTCTCTCTCTTTCTCTCTCTCTCGGTACTTCACTTTCTAGTGGGGATACGTATTTATATGTTAGATATATACATATATATTATGCGGATGGAAGACGCTCATTCGTGTTCATATCATTTCGTATGTTGATCTAATTAGATTTACTAATTTCAAAATAACGAATACGAACATTTTCATATCGTTGAAATTTTCGAACTTCATTAAGTGCTATATATTTTTTATATATGTTAAAATTACATTAATTAGTATATTCAGTGTCAAAGATAAACGTTTTGATCGCTCCTGTTGTATAAGACTTCGATCGAAAAAAACGCGCGAAGTATTATCTTTTTCAAATTTGCGATACGATTCCTCGACAAAAAGGAAAAGAAGTTTATTTTTTGTAGGAAATTAATTAATGAATTTATCTTTGATTTTGTAGAAATGATTAAATCGTTCATATGGCAAGGAGATAATTTCCACTTTTAGAAGTTTTTTTAATTTTAACATCTCAAAGCACTAAAGATTGGTGTTTAACTTTTTATATTTAAAATAAGTTTCTTTAATAATTATCTTTAAACAATAAAATGACCGAAATTGTGTAATAGTTAAATAATAAAGTATATAACAATGCATATGCCATTTATTTGCATAGTTGAAGAAAAAAAAAATGTGAAAAGTTAGGTATAGCAAAATAATCGACACATCTATAACGATCGATGGCATCACGTTATCTCATAATGCACGCGATTTCTCAAAAACAATCATCTAATGTGACTTTTAATTTTTTATGCAAATGACTAATATTGAAACGTCTTTTATCGACCATTATACGCCATTAATCGTGGCTTGGGTAATATTATATAAAAAAAATTAAAAATATATTTAATTATTTGAAATATTAAATATTATTATATAAAAATTGGCGCGAACGTTTAATGGGGTTTAGTAATCTTCGGAAGAAGAAGTATTGGAAATGAAAGAAACAAATAAGAGCAAGTATTCCAAGAAATGATACAATTAAGCTTATTAAGATTTCTTAGATCAACGTGTTGCTTACGTTGAATGTTCCTTTGTGTTGAATAAGCATGAAATGAAAAAGACACGAGTATTATATTACACTTGTGAGTTTACGTTCATAGAGACCGGTCAGCAACATGTCGGCGTTGGCCGAAGGTGGAACATCCACCAATCGTTTTTAAGGTGGTAAATAACAATCGCATAAATGACATCGGGCAATGACGCGTTTCAAAATTCAAAGAATGAAATTTTGTATATTTTTGTCAATCTTCTTATTCGGCCAAATCGTGGTGTGCAGTGGAAGCTTTCGAGAACGAAGTACCGGCGATGATAAACCGCCAACTAATATAACCTCAAAATTGCCTGTTGAAGTTTCGAATGGAACGATACAGACGACAACGTTAATGTCAAAAGAGGTTGGTTAGGCGTAACTCATTATAGACACGGCATGCATGTTATGCAATATAAATATTTTTCTTGTATAGAGCATAGAAGAAGGTCATCAAACGTCCTTGAATTCTGGAGCACTCCTACGTGGCTTTTGTGTCTTTATAGGATTGAGCATTTTGGTTATGGCCTATATCGTGTTCCGTAATTTTAGGTAAGCACTGCTATAAATTAGTGTGACCTTTGTTTTAACGTTTCTAAATTAACTAAATCTAAAACTTTCTTTACAGGTTAAGTAAAACGCGAGCACAGATGATTCGAAAGTACGGTATTCTTGCTCATAGGCAAGATGTTGAAATGCGACCATTACCACTAGATGAAGAAGACGACGAAGATACTACTGTTTTTGATGCCAGCAATGTTTTGACTAATAATGCTCAACATCTAAACTTATGAAACTGTTTCCGTTAGGAACATTTCATTTTCTGTGCTTTTATGTATGATATATTAATAATATGCCTCTTTAACAGTTTGTTGAATGGAACTAATCTTTTCAGAAATGGCATTTGTACAAAACAAGAGAAAAAAGATACTTTGTACTTGTATCTTTATTTAATGGCATTATTATATTATTAACAAAAAAAAAGCCATTATATTCGTGCATATTGGCTGTAATGATTCTGCTATGTAGCATTGAATATATCATTATTGACAAAATATTCTTTGTCTTTCTAATGCAAATATACTATATATATATAGTACTATCAAATTTGCGGCACCAAATGTATTGATAAAAAAATATCGGGTTGCCACATCTACTACTACACAAAGTAAACTATGTTGTTATAATTAAAACTAAACAAATACAGATTATCTCTATTTTATTTAATGCTAAACATTTAATAAAAATTATGAATAAAATGGATTCAATTTTACTTATACATTTAAATTTTATAAAAATCCTCTTTCTACAGCATGGACAATTACATCTGTTAAACGTAATCTTTTTTCCTGTGTATCTAAATTACCAAGTACCCATACATCACTTATATTCACTTGTTCGTCTCCTTTTATTAATGTATCCAGATCAAATGCTTGTGAATTAGATAACAATGTAAATGGTATAGCTTCTAATGCAAAAACAACTCCATAGACAAATTGTTCTTTTACCTGAAATGAAATTATATATGATATATTTATTATAATTCGACAAAAATGTTATGTTTTCAATAAGTCAACAACAACATACCTCTTTCATAAACGTTTCCCATGAATACACTTTGTTAGCATCTGAGCCAAGTAAATTAATTACACTAGTTAATTTATCGTGATAAATTTTCATCATTTCATCGAATCGTTCTCTAAGAGTTTTGTTTGTACAAGAATAAATAAAGAATGCTAAATCAGGAATTGGACTGACACAACGTGCTAATTGAAAATCAAGTAACAGCGCTTGCTTTCTATTTCCTTCAATGGTACGTACTAAAACATTTGGAGCCCAAGAGTCTCCTTGATTTACAACTGATGTTGGAGCATCTAAACGATCACATATTTTACAACACATTTCCACGAGTGAACCAAATTTGTAAGAAGTAAAACGCTTTAGCGCTTCGCTGTTTGGATATTCAGTAGTTAATGCATGTGTTGCTATTCCCACCAATTGTTTCTACAAAACAGATCAGAATCTATGTACAGATAAAATAATGAAATTTTTAATCAAACATAGTAGTTTTACTTACATGAAATTTTTCATACCAACTCCAATATTTAGGACTAAAATATGTCTCTCTTAAATGCGATACACACTCATTAAATTCTTCTTTATTTTGATCTTTGTGTGCAAACGAAATTGCATGAAAAGTAGCAAAAGCTTCTAAAATCACAGTACACTGTTCCATATCTACACAGTCTTGACGAGTTATAGGACCATATCCTAAATTGCAAACATTTTCTAAAATTAAATAGTCATTTTCACCATCTACAAATGATTTTAAGTGACGTGGAACACTTAGAATATGAGCTTGATTTTTGCTTTTGAGAAACTGTTCAAATTTCGGTATAACCTGAAAAATAGATTTCAAATCAAATTCATTAAACAGTTCAAAATAATATTTGTTAGAGGAAATATATTCAATTCAATTACCTTAGTATAAAATGCGACCTCATTTTGAAAGAAATCTGTACTTCGATAAGTTTTTCTTCTACCTATATTTGCAGGTAGTGATTTTATCACAATATCAGTTTGTACAGGTTTGCCATTAGCAATACCATTTATCTTGACTTTATTAACAACTGTTAAATAGCTATCACCTTTAACACTTGCTTCATCAAAATTCCAATCGATTACTTTAACATCTTTTACATTATGTTCTGCTACAAGTATACTTTCTAATACTTCTTTAGTAAGTTTAGTACTTATTGTACTTAGATCAACTTGGTTTGTTTTTTCACTCATTGTTGAATTTCTTTCAAAGTTAAGTAAAAATTATTAAATCGTTGTCTGATACATAAAGGTGTTTATATATCTTTGGAAATTTATTTTTCTCTGAAACACGTAACTCTGTTTAAAAAAAAGATTTATTATTTAGATTTATTATCTTTTTTATTTGAAAGGTTTATCAGTATTCTTATCAGTATTTTTATCAGCATATTTTGCTTATCTATATTTTTTTGAGTTGAATAATAATAAAATAAAGAAAAGAATCTAATGAGATAAGTATTATAAATATTCAAGTTTACTTATTTAATTATATCAAGTAAAAGAGAATCAGTCAAATAATACAAATTTTAATTTTATAAATTATTTTTGTTTTTCAGTTATTATTATTTTTAACTGGAGTTCACAAAAATTCCTTTATACCTATCTTTAATATTTCAATAGTTTAGTATGTCGCATAATATACTAGTTATTTAACATTGACTATCTAAAATAATAGTTCTCAATACATACACACACATATAGTGGGTATATTAAATATAAAATACATACTATTGTATATATTTTATGACGTATGCGAGAATCTTTTAAGATATAACAATTGATAAATTGAGAATTAGTGACATGAATTGTTCTTTTATTGTAAGACGGAAGCAAAACAATACTGTTTGTGTATATCGCTATATCTATTGAGTATTTCAAACTAAATGCACGTACGAATATGAAATTTTTGTTTGTTTGTAAAAAACAATGAGTTACATGTAATTATTTAGATAATTATTAAAATGTGAAGGACTTATTTCTAAGGATAATATGATGCCGAAAAAAAATGTAAAAAAAATATAAATATACATAAAAAAAGAAATTACTTACTCAAACTGTGGGAGAATCAAATTTTAAAAAGATATATGGTTATACGAAAGAAGTAATTTCTATACTGAACAGGAAGCATAACTCTCGGCTTATTTAACGGGTTAGGTCTCCCATCTAGAGTGTCTAGATGTGGTGCTTTCTGATTGGTCTTGATATCGTCAATTACAGTCGCTATTTTTTTTTCTTCCTGCAGATTCTTCTCTATTAACTTTATAAAACAAAAAGATTATATTGATTATCAAGTTTATACTCGTAAGATAATATTTATTCTTTACAAGAACAAATTTTTAAAAAGGAATAAATAAACATTGTACATAAAATATATAATCATTAAATAATTCATAATTATATTAGTATATAATAGTAACATGGGAATATTGTTTTTAGGTGATTTAAAATGAATACTTAAAAAAGCTGTCAATTTTTAATTATTTATTACATAATAAAAGGAATTTTTATTTCTTTTCATATAATTTCTTATCAATAGTGATAAGCATTCTTATCTTTGTTTCATCAGTTTATAAGAATTTACTAATATTTTCTAAAAAAAAATAATAATTTAATTCTTTTTTTTCCTTTGTCTTTTACTCTTTTAAAATGATTTTTATTTTTTTTTTCACAATGTGTTACAACAGATTAATAAAATTGAAAAAAATTAACAAGAAGAGTAAAAAAGCCTAGAAAAACAGTATTTTGAGAGAATTTCGTAATTGTACATTGAAAGGAACACATTAAAACGTCCATTTTCATTTTCTTTTCTTTGTTAAATTTCAAGTTTAGCTCTGAAACATTTGCAAAGCTAGTTGATTGATATCTCTTATCAATAAGTAATTAAACAGTAATCAACAAGAGTCCATCATAAATCTCAAGTTAAAAAAATAATAAAAACTTGAAATCAAATTTTTTTCGATTGTTCACAAAATAATTTGGTTATAAAGAACTGAATTTTCAGTAAAATTATTTCTTTTAGTAAGGATACTATAGTACTGATAATAAGTATCATTCAACAATTCGCTGGGAGCAGTTTCAGTAATCTTACTTGGTTGTGCCTTTTATAAATATTTCTTAGAAAATATAAAGAAAATAATTTTTTAATCCATTCCCCATATAATAAATTACAAAAAATAAATACGTTTAAATTAGTCAATCATTAACGTAGATAAAGTAGATGCGTTTCTCCCTTTCAATTGTATTTATATATACATATATACATGTATATATTCTGTCATATCGCGTGCATCAATACGAAACATTATCCACGAGTAAATATCTAAAATTTTCTTTTCCAAAATTAGATGCCCACCAATGGCTATCTTAACAATTGTCGGAGTTCCTCCAGAAGAATAAAAATAGGATTCATAATTTATGACGTTTTAGGAGGAACCAGTAGTTGTAAAACCAGTTCCTACGAATAAGAAAAAGTGTCCTCGAGAAAAGATAGTCCTTCGGCGTTCGTTGCGCCCTCTAGATTATTCTTTTCAAGGTGTCCTCTCTACGTCTGCGCGTAGCGTAAAGCAAGCGCACTGGTATGACGTAGGGGAGTAATGGAAGCTGAGACGTAAGGGGAACTTTACTCTGAGCAATCAAAGAGAGAGAGAGAGAGAGAGAGAG